TGTTGCGTGCGTCGTGCGCGCTTTCAGTTTGCACTGTGTTGCACGCGTGTCGCACGCATCTTCTTTCCATTTTGTATGCGTTTTGTACGCATGTTGTGTGCAGCGTGTGTGCTTGTTGCACGCGTGTTCCACGGGTGTTGTATGCATCGTGTATGCATGTCGCACGCTCTATGCATGTTGTATGCGCCATGTGTGCGCGTGCGTGGTGCATGCGTGTTGTTCGCGTCGGGCGTGCGTTTGATTTGCATATTGTACGCTTGCTGCCTACGTGTTGTACGAGTGCCGCGCGCGTTCCGTATGCGTGTTGCACGCATGTTGTGCCCATGTGCATGCACGGTGTATGTACTTTGCACGCGTTGTGTGCGCGTGCTGCACACATGTTCTATGCACCGTGCGTGCGTTTTGTTTGCATGTTGTATGCATGTTATATGTATTGTATCCGTGTTGCATTTGCATGTTGTACACGTGTTGTGAGCGTTCCGTAGGAGTTGCGCATTTGGTTTGTATGTCGTGTTGTATGGGTGTTGTATGCGTTTTGCATTAATTGTCTGCGTTGCACAATGGGTTCTTTCTGCGTGCGCTGTGCATGCATGTTGCATAAACAAGCATGCGTATTATACACACATGCATCGCGTGTGCATTTTACGCGCGTTCTGTGCGTGTTGCGTGCGTTTTGTATGTGTTTCGTGTGTGTGTGTGCTCTTTGTGTGCGTGTTGTATGCGTACTGTACGAGTTGTGGACTGTTGTTTGCATTTTGTTCACGTGTTGTGTGCATGTTGTATGATTTGTTTTTGCTTTGCGTATCTGTAGTATGTGCATTTGTCAGAGGAGGTCTTGTATGAGTTGCGTACGCGCTTCTTAGACGAAACATGCGCACGTATGCACGTTTTAGAAGCGCGTGGAAACTGCATACTGTGTGTTACACCGTGCAACATTCATACAGCACAACGTGTATGCAACAGCATACACCATGCGTACAAAACACATACAAAGCATCTCACCTGCAATGCGTGCAAAGAAATCATTGATCGGACGTTTCTAGGCGTGTGTTCACTCAAAGAATGCATATGGTGCCCTCCAATCTTCCGGATTGTCTCTTTGGGCATCGCAGCTTGCACGCGGGCACAGCCAGCATCTACCGGCACCAATAGGCGCCCTGCAAAATAAGCCTGCCAGCAAGACAAAGACTTGCAGAGATGCAAACTCAGCATCCTAATATGGCCATGAGAGGAAAATGGAAGCAGGAGCGTGTTTTCTGAAGCGGCGGTCATGCCATTTTTTACAAAACTCGTTTAGTTTCCTTTTCTGTCTCCCTTCTTGCTCCTCTTCCTTGCGATCTGTTTGTTTTACCTAGTTTTTGCAACGGCCTTCCGGCCCTTGCTTCTTTTCTTCCTGCCGGCGCCTTCTCTTTGACCAACTTCTTTCCTGTCTTCTTGGGCCCCTGAACTTCTGTTTTTGATGTTCCCCTGCGCGCGTGGCGCAGCCGGTTTTTACACTGCGCGGTTCGAGACGCAGGTAGGAAATTACAGCCGTGCTGGCGGGTCGCTGCCATGCGTGGCGGACAAATCCTACAGCCTCAGTGATTAGACATCATGCACTCTTGCGCAGGGTGGTAGCGCAAATGACAGCGTTGGAGCAGCACGAACAGCATCGTGCGCAACCGTCCCATTGGCGCAGTCAGGTTTATATATTACAACGTCTGGAGCAAGGTAGCCGCGTCGCAGGCAAGTTGGCGGCGCAAACAGCACCACGACATGCCTTCCAGGCACGGGCGATAGATCGAAAGGGCGGCGTCATTCCCAGGTGCGCGCTGCACACAGATCGACCTTAGCTCCCGCGCGCGCCAAGCGCAACACAGTGCAGCGCTTGGGGTGGACAGTTCCATGGTTTTACAAAGCTAAAAGTGTCGCCAGACAGTGTCGCCAAATGCAGCATGGTCTGCGCGCACGAAGCAGGTCGCACACAATCGAGAGCGTACGAGAGCGTTCGTATACATACGACACATTCACGAGAACGTTGCTTTTGTTTGTTGCTTCAGTTGTCCTTTGCGCAACTTTGGATTCTCTCGGTATTCCATCGTCTACATGGGAATCTTTCCTGGAGGAACTGTGGACAAGCCTCCAAAAAACATATCAGCATGGAATCTCCAACTTCAAATCACAGTAACCGCGAGGGCGACATGACCGTGACCTTTTTGAAGCCGTACATGTCCATTTTATTCAAAAACCAATTTCACCCAAAAGCGTTTCGGGACAGATCCCATGCGTGGTCGGCTTGGCTGCCAGGCACGCATTGTGCCGCAATTGGGCACGGGCAAATTGAACTCAGCCCGGAGAGGTGCGAGGCCTTAGTGGACTTGCAAGTTCCTTGGGCCCCAACACGGGACGCAGCTCCAACTGGCGATTCGTTGAGATCGCTCACATCCCTGAAGAACCAAAGGTTTGCCGGGTCGCAGGCGGGCACCCCCTTGACTGACATGTTGGAAACTCAGATCCTCACTCAGTGCAGGGCTGCGCGCGGCGAAGGGTCTGCGCGGAGTGGCCTTGGCATAATGAAGGACATTGCCAGGAAGTCGGTCAACAGGAAGAAGAGCTTTGCTCAGCCTACATGACCGTCTGTGCCAGGACCCGCTCTATGCCTATTCCGCCGCGCGGGGAGAATTCATCGAGAAAGTTGCCAGAAGCATCATTCCATCCATCGGGCGCGCTGTTTCCTGCACCCTCTCTGGGCAGCACCGTCTTGCTTGTCCCCATAACTTGCTTGCATCGCTCACACGCTTGTCCCCATCCCCCTCCTTCAAACCTTTGGCGCAACACGGCATCGAGGGCATTCAAACCCCTGCGAGCAGAGACCAATGGATTTCGAGTCCATCTCCTTAGCCGCTCGGACACAGTGCCTCTGCACGTCTGAATAACAACCGTCTTTGGGCCACAACCCTTTCTATGAACCACACGGCCGCCCTGCTTTCACGCTTGCGCGCAAGGGTCTCATAGCTCCGTTGGTTAGAGCGCACGGCTAGTAACCGTAAAGTCTGCGGTTCGAGCCCGCATGGGGCCACTTTTTCCACACTAGCCGGGCAAGAGCTTGAGGGCCCTTCTTAGGTTCAATTGGCAGGACTCCCGGCTCCGTGGGCCGATGCCTTATCCATTGCTCCACGGGGCCATTGACCCTGCTGCTCCACACAAGCTTCCTGCACAAGTTCCTTGGCGCGGGCGTGCCTTGACGCGCCGCCGCCCAACAAGCAAGCCCCCTTGGCCATTGTGGGTTCGAGTCCCACGAAAATTGTTGCTGCGTTTGCGCCGGCGATGATCCGCGGGGAAGAGTTTGCGCCGAAGTACCTCACGGGGCTATGGTGCCGCCGAAAGACGGGGAGCCGATGAGAGCAACACGGCGACATCTTTGTTTGCCACGGCGGGAGGTTCCTGAAGGTGGTTTAATTCGCGTCCCTGTGAGGCGACCTGCCCATCATGCGCAAAGTGATGGGGTGGACCGGCGACTCCTACTCTGAAGAAAAGTTGGAGGGTATCCTTGCCGAGTTGCTGGGGCACCCTTGCCGAGTTGCTCTCGTGGAAATGCAGACCAACTGAAGCCGGCGTATCCGACCAGGCTACCGATCGTCAGCACAGTTGTCAAAGCAGGGCGGCGTGGGCAAGATTATGTCCTATGTTCAGCTGGCCGTCCTTTTGCCAACTGGGGCGACGTCAGCCAACGCCAAAAGATCAACGAGAGCGCTGGCAATGCGATTCCCGTGGCTGATCGTCCAACGACATTTGCTTGAAAGAAGCACAAGAAAGAAGCGGTGGAAGGCATAGCGCATTTCTTCATTTGAGCAGGATACCGAGGATTGGTTGGAACCAGAAGACAACACTCACTACGATGAGAGACGTGTGAAGCGAGCAGGCCCGTTGCTGTATTCCATGTTCACCTAGCGCTCGCAAACAACTTTACCCCGACACATAGCTTCAACTCGCGCCGCCGGTGTTCGAGTGTCACTGCAACATTATGACAGACGACTTTAATCTCCTATCCCACATTTTGCGTTCAAAATAGAAGATAGGGCCGATTCCTGCGCTGGCTCTGCAGCCAGCGCGTCGTATGCTGTTTGTAAAGAAAGGATCTTCACATGACAGGACCTTTCCTGACTGTTTCCCACAGCGCGAAGACCAATGCTCAGAAACATATGCGGCAACACATTCGCCAACACATTCAAGGACGACAAGGTCGCGCCCGCCAAACGCACCACGCGCTTGAACAGCGATCTGCTCATGAATGGATGATGCGATTCTGGCTGGCGCCTTCCGTTCGTGGTCAACACCAAGAGGCCGGAGAAGGGGACAAGGGACAACAGCAGCCAATGGCCCAACCAACAAGAAGAACCATTCACGTCAAAGCAACTAAAAAAATAACGCTAGGAATGAAGAACAACGGCCGACCAAATGGCAATCTTACCTCCTCTAGCAATGACGCCCAGAGGATCGCTACAAGATTGCCAACCAGCTCGGCGTGAATGATCCACGCTTCACACCGCCGAAGGCGTGTGCAGTGTTTTTTTCCACTCACCAAGACATCGTTGACAAGGAGTTAGCTTTCTCAATCCCACTTCAACTTTTGGCGACCCGAGCATAGAGCGGAGTCAACAATTCGCACGAGAGTACAGTTGCAGAAGACACCCAAAGAACTGCTACGAGAGGTGGCGCATTCTGTGTCATAATGGCTACGGCGAATCTTTTGCTGGAGGTTGAAAGAAATTCGCGTTTGTGTTTGTTTTGCTTTTGCGTGACCCCCTTTAACAGACCATTGTATTCTGTAATCTCAAAGCCCCTGCAGCTACAGCACACAGTTGCGGCGATCAGCTACAGGCTGCGTCAAGAAGATGACTAGAGACAGAGACACCTCCAAATTGCTCCAACTGTTCTTCTTTACTTCGGAAATAGATCCGTAGTGATTTGCAAGCCAGATGCACTGATCAGTCTAGCTGGGCGGGCTGAGACACACTGAGGTGACTATGTACAACCACCAGACCCTTGACACCATCAAGGTTGGGCTTGAACCAAACGGTTTTTCCGTCAGTTTCGGCTTTAGGAAAGGGCCCAACGAGTGCGAGAGCCCCCTCATCCAAGTGTATAGGTCGCAGCCCAAACCTTTTGTGGAGTTCTTCCATTTGAGAGTGGGTTCCCTTCTTGGTTTCAAAGAGACGCGGTAGCTTCAATCTTTGTTGTTTGACCTCGGCGCAAGTTACGGAGTGTCGGGCTGAGCCAACTGGTGTGGCGGTCTGGGGTGGGTTCCAAGATGGGTTCAAAGGATGTTTCAGAAGCGCCCCCGCATTGGACAAATCCATCTTGAGACTGGGCAAACACCGGGCTTGCGTTGGCTGGTAAGAAAGGAAGTGGCGCCTGCATTAAGGGGAAGTCAACGCAGCGCAACTGTGCCAAAACAGTTTTGTAACTGCAAACGCTTCGCGCTGCGCGCCTCGGTCAGTGTCTGCCGGATTCTTTTGGTTGGCTTTGAAGTGCTGTGGTTTTGTTGGCCTTGAAGTGTTGTTTGCTGAGTGCGTGAGTCGGCGCCAAAATGCGCGAGCTGGTTTGCAAGAGGTGCGGGTCTCTTCTTGGGGTCAGCTGAGGAACCTGTGTTACTTCCGCAGAGGTTCCTTCTCATCAAACAACAAAAAGTCGACCTTTATCATGTTTACCGTAGTGAGTCTGGTTCCAAGATCAAGTCCTACGGTCGCCATTGCAGTGAATCTTATGTCAGTTGGGGTAAGGCGTGGCAACCACGTGGATGAAGTCGACTGCGTCTCCCATCGCCCCCCCTGACATGGGAAGACACGGTTTGGGGCCCCAGCGTTGCGTGCCTTTGAAGTTGGTTAAGAAACGGGTCATAATTTTGGACTTCCCCCAATGAGAATTGTTTCTTTTCGCCATTCTTAGACGTTTGTCTTGCGGACGCACGCCTGGCCCCTGCGCAGGTGGTCCGCGATTTCATGCACAACTTTCAGAGTTTCAGATGCACTTGATGTGGATGCCAGTTTCCACAGGTTTGCCAGGTAAAGGCGCTGCGCCCTTTTTGTTGTAGGGCCTTAAAATTGCTGACTAAAGGGGGGAAGTCATTCAGCATATCTGAACAACTCAAATGCCATGTGCACCACTGTGGAAAGCTTTTGCATGGAGAGTTGCCAACAGAGATTGGCCTGAACAACTGGGTTGGAGGCCCCACGGCCCCACTAACTGGGAAACCAGCCCCTCTGCTTGGCTATACGCAACCCAGGTTTGGCCACACCTGTGCGTAGGTGTGTTGCGGTGTTTGGTGCACCCCCATTCAAGACATTCAACTCAATGGCAGTACTCTTTTACACCTTCTTCGCTTCGCCGTTCTGGCCCTTCTATCAGCAACCGTCGCCGGATAGGGATGGCCCACCTACACGTTCGCAACATGGACCAATGTTTGGAATCTACTTCTACAGGGTTTTTCATATATGGAGACTGCTTGCAGGAGTTTGACGCATGTAGACCGTAAGCGTGTCTCGATGGCCGTGATGTTGTTCTCAAGAACCTCCTTGTTTGCATTTGCCACTCCATGGATGCGCGGTTGTTTGATTGGCGCTGCTGTATCTTTTGGAGCCGAGCGTTGAGCAGAGATGGAGGGACTCGTGAACCTCCTTTCGAACAAAGTTCTGTTCGTTTGGATATGCGCCACTTGTAGCATTGCGCGCAGAGATGACGGGCTTGGGCCGGGCTCCTTCAGATAAATTCCCCATCCGCATATGGGTTTCCAAATTTGTTTTATGTTCATGTAGGATCTAAACAAACAAGTCCTTTCCAAGCAGGAGTTCAACTGTAATGTAAGTAACATGTCGGGTAAAATCCAATTAAATAGGAATTGATTCAATGGTTAAAACCAGTCCAACGAATGTGTTAGACGGTCTTCCAAAATCGAAGTTTCAGGGACTAGAGGTGCAAACTAATTTTGCTTCATTCTGCCCCAAAAAGCGGAGGTAGTAGATGGGCAGATGTGGACAGGTAGTCCAGGGCAGATGGTGTGCGAACATGCAAGTGCAAACATAAACTTGAAAGTTGTTTCACTTGATCGCTATGCCCTTGAATGTGTTTTACCACTTGGTTGAAGATCCAAGGTTGAGATTACACAGAACACTTTCCTGAGAATCGTCAACCCTGGCCAAACCCAAACAACATTCAAGTTCTTCTAGACGCATGAAAGCGCTTCAGAAAACGTTCCTATTGTTTACCCTGGCCAACCCAAGCGAACCTTCAAGTTGCTCTAGAACCTCAAGCGTATTGTACCACTGGATTGAAGATTTAAAATTGCTTTTACGGGGGCTTTTTTCCCGATAACTTTCTGGGCCTGCGGCCTCTAGCCGGCTACGCCTCTTTGCTTGTCCGCGTGCTTTCTTGCTTGCGCGTCTGTCTGCCTATTGGGATATGACCCCTGGAGCCGCTTCAAGCGGAAACTGGCACAGCCGCCGGGCAAAGCACGCGGCGGAGGAGGACGCAGAAATCGAGAGCACTTCGGCGCCGTGTGAAGGGAGTGTTGTTCTGAGGTTGACTTTGGCTTGCTAGAAGAGGGGACGATTTGAGGGGATTGACCCGACCATTCACCATGGTGGCCGGGGTTGCGCGGAGATTGATCCGCGTGCGCGAGGGCTTGAAACCGTCTCTAGTCTTCTCCTCTGTTCTGGCAGGGGGGGATGATGGGGGGTGATGATGTTGGTGTGCGCTGGTGATGCATTTGGTTTTTACATGGCCCCCGGGTGGCTATAACTCCCGACCCCCGGGGACAACCCCCGTAAAGTGAATTGCCGCAGTCATTTTTGGTTAGCTTTTTTGTTTTGAGGGCTCCCGGAGTTTTCTGTGTTTTTGTCCAACCCGAATGGTGCTCCCAGGTACCGCCCCGGCCTTACTTCGAGCTGTTTTCGGTTTCTGGGTTTCGCACGTTTGCGCCGGTTTGGATGATGCGGAGACGCGGGGACGAGGGATTCCTGTGTCTGTGATGGCGCTTTTTAGCACCAGGCCAGCAATCGAAAATGCAGGCGCACGAGCAGGCGCATAGGCAGGAGAGAAAAAAAGGCAAGCAGTCACACAGGAAGGCAAGCTAGCAAACGGGCAGGCAGGCAGGCAGGCAGGCAGGCAGGCAGGCAGGCAGGCAGGCAGGCAGGCAGGCAGGCAGGCAGGCAGGCAGGCAGGCCGCTAAGACCTAGGAAGACAAACGGCCGGTGCAACTCGAAATTTTCATACTGGTGTATGTATGTAATGTAATGTAATGCAATGTAACGCAATGCAATGCAATGCAACGCAATGTAATGTAATATAATGTAGTGTAGTGTAGTGTAGTGTGTAGTGTAGCGCAGTGCAGTGTAGTGTAGTGCGCAGTGTAGTGTAGTGTAGTGTAGTGTAATTAATGTATGTGTGTATGTATGTGTGTATGCAATGTATGTATGTATGTGTGCAAGTATGCATTCATGTATGTATGTATGCCATGTAATGTATGTGTGTATGTATGTATGTATGTAATGTAATGTAATGTAATGTAATTGATGTAAGGTAATGTATGTTATGTTGTGTAATGCATCCGTGTATGTATGCATGCATGCATCTATGTATGTATGTAATGTATGTATGTATGTATGTATGCATGCATGCATGCATGCATGCATGTATGCATGTATGTATGTAATGTATGTATGCATGTATGTATGTATGTATTCATGCATGCATGCATGCATGTATGTATGTATGTAATGTATGTATGCATGCATGTATGTATGTATGTATGTATGTATGTATGTATGTAATGTATGTACGTATGTATGTATGTATGTATGTATGTGTGTGTATGTGTGTGATGTATGTATGCGATGTGTGTATGCATTTTTGTATGTGTGTATGTATGCATGTATGTAATGTATGTATGTATGCATGTATGTAGGAATGTATGTATGTGTGTAATGTAATGTAATGTAATGTAATGTAATGTAATGTAATGTAATGTAGGGTATGTATGTATGTATGTATTGTTTTGTTTCGTATGTATGTATGTATGTATGTATGTATGTGTGTAATACATATTCATGTGTGTATGTATGCATGCATGCATGTTCGTACGTATGTATGTATGTAAGTAAGTAATGTAATGTAATGTATGTAGTGTTTGTAGTGTTTGTTTGTATGCATGTATGTATGTATGCATGTATGTGTGTGTATGTACTGTATGTATGTATGTGTGTGTCTACTGTATGTATGTATGTATGTATGTAGGAATGTATGTATGTATGTATGTAATGTCATGTAATGTAATGTAATGTAAGGTATGTATGTGTGTATGTTTGTATGCAGAGTATCATCGTAGCAGCGGCTGCACCTCCAATGAGGACGATGACAAGCATGGTGACAGTGGTCATCCCTGTCGTCACAAGTATCATCGCAACATGCTCTGCATCTCTAGCAGCGCCTGGATAACTATCATCGTAGCACCCCTTGCGTTGCAAGTGGTGTCTAACGTCCCTATTGATTTCTCTATAAGAAGTAAAGACAGGATGATGATGATGATAACGGCGATGATGATGATGATGATTACTTTGAGGAAGATTATGAAAAGTATCATCGTAGCATCGCTGCAAGGATGAGGATGATGACGATGCTAGCGGTGATGATGATGAGGATGACACGATGGTGATGATGACAACGGTCATGATGATGAGGATGACTAGCTGCGTCATCGCAAGTATCATCGCAGCATCCTCAGCATCACCAGCAGTCATGAGGATAATCATGCCCACGCATCTTGTGAATCTCAAATCGGATGATAATCATCACTATGCATCCTCAGCATCACCAGCAGTCATGATGATATTCATGAATACGCATCTTCTGCATCTCAAATCGGGCGATGACAATTATTACGACGCATCCCCAGAATCTCTTGCAGGGACGATGCTGAGCATGAGGATGATGATTATGATAGCGGTGACGATGAGGATGATGACATCGTAGCATCCGATCCAACAGTGGATGATGATGACAATGATAATGATGACAACGGTGAACGATGATGGTGATGATGACAGTGAGGAAGATGATGAAAAGTATCCTCGTAGCACCCGCTGCATCTCCAACAGTGGATCATGATGACGATGATGATGATGACAACGGTGATGATGATGACGATGAGGGCGATCATCCGCGTCATCACAACTATCGTCGCGACACCCTCTGCGCCTTGGCCACTATCGTCCTAGCATCCCTTGAATCGCCAATGGAGCCGAGCGCCACGCCTTGGCGTGATGATGATGATGATCACGATGATAAGAAGGATGACAACGATGATGATCATGATGCTTGCAGACAAGGGCTCGGCGGAGAAAAAGAAGAAACAAAAAAGGATGATGGCCGCAATGACGATGGTCAGGGTGATGGTGATGACCACGAGGATGATGGTAGGATGATGACTGTCATGTTAGCTATCATCATAGCATCATCTGCATTACCAATGCTGCCGATGACCATGAGGATGATGATAAGGATGATGACTGTGATAATCAGGATGATGACTGTGATGATAACTATCATCGTCGCATCCTCTGCGACACCAATGCTGTCTCAGAAGAAATGATGATAAGGATGATGACTGTGATGATAACGATGATGACTGCGTTGGTAGCTATTATCGTAGCATCCTCTGCATTACCAATGCTGCCTAAGGCCGCAATTGAGATGTATACAGCAATAAGAAAGAAGACAGAAGCAAGATGACCGCAATGATGATGATCAGGATGATGACTATGATGATAAGGATGAAAACTATGATCGCAGCATCGTCTGCATAACCAATGCGCCTCAGAAGAGATGGTGATTATGATGAGGATGTTGACTATGAGATAAGGATGAGGGCTGTCATGATAACTGTCATCGTATCACCTTTTGCATTACCAATGCTGCCGATGTGAGGATGATGATAAGGATGATGACTGTGACGATGAGGAC